ACGAATTTCTCGATTCAATTGTATATATCTATACATATTTATTAAATTTGACTTAAAATGCCATACCACTTGTAGAAACACTTATAAATGCTGATATTTAGTTTTCATTATTTTTTTTTATGTGGTTTATTATTGGACTTATATATTACCTAATCACTATCCACCTCCAAAAAAAAAAAAAAATAAAAAAAAATAAAAAAAGATATTTTATTTTATTTTTTTGGAGGTGGATAGTGTTTAGGTAATATATAAGTCCAATATATATATATATAACATATAACATCATTTTAATAATTTTATTGCATTACTTTCTGTAGGAAAATTAAATTCAAATTTCTCCACGAGGAGTCTTCTAAGAGATATTATTATTCAAGTACCGAGTTATTCTAAGTATTTATTATGCTTATTTAGTAAAGAAAGATAGGCTAAACTTAGAAAAAACTTTTACCTTTGGATCTAAATGAATTTCTTTTCAAGTTAAAATGTATGAGATAAATAAAGTTTAACTTGGAAGTTTAAAAATGAATGTTTTCCTGTATCACAGTTTTTTTTTTTTTTTAGATGTTGCTTAGAATTTCTTTAAATATTGTCGAAGACACTGCTTAAAGTATAACTGATAAAATGATGTGAATAAACATTGTATACAAATTTTATTATTATTTGTAATTGATTTTTTTTTTTACCGCTTGTAAGTATGAAAGGAATTTTTGAAAACGATTTGGAATATATTATTATATTTTAAGAATCCTAATTTTTTCCCCTTTAATATCAGATCAAGTAGTAAGTTCTTGATTATTTGTGATGAATTTAAGTCGTCTATCGATGACTAATAACACAATTGAAATAAACATTATCATACCATCTTTCCAGAATTTCGTAAATCCATTTATGGTGCAAGCCGTTGTCAGATTACTCTGGATGAATAAGGTTGTAAGATGATGATTACAGTAATATTTAATTTACGACACTAAATTAAATATTACTGTAATTTTATTTAAAGTAATTTTTAATTATACAGGGTGTCCCGTAAGTAGAGTAAATTTTTTATAGGAGTGATAGCTGATCTCAAGAGCTACAAACAAGTACATATAAAAATGGACAAATTTTCAGCAGAAAATCCAATTTTTGTGTTTTTAAGTATGTCGTGTTTTTTCTTGAATAGGAAGTGATAAATAAATAAATATTTAATTTATGAAATTAACAATTACTTCACTGTAAACTAGACAAAATTTACTTTAAAAGAAAATAGACCTTGTCACTGTTATTACTATTTAAAGAAGACTTTTAAGCGGCCAAGCTAGGCTGTTTTGTTTGAAAAACAACAACATAAATTATTCGGGATTGATTTTTATCTTCATCCGACTATACTACAGATACCCCACTTTCAGGAAAACTTCGTTCAATAAGTCCGATTTAAGTTCGTATTAATTAATTAGAGATTTGTTAGAAAAAAATTTGAGATTCACCTCAGGTTCTGTGCAAGAATGATGTGATTTTTATCCTGTCAAGTAAAAGTACCCCTGTCATTTTCATTTTCAGCAAAGATGACTACAATTAATTGTTGGAAAGCTTTTATTTCTTGTTTTTTCATAATCGAGGATGTATTGTAATAAAAAGAATTGCCTAAATTCACTTTTTATTAATATAAAAAAATGTTGAAAATAATGATTTTTAAAATATTTTTCACGTAAAGTGGTTTTGAAACAATGTTTTTCAACTGACAAACATAAAACCTGATCCTAATATTAACGATTAAATGAAAATAATTGAAGCAATCAGCAGGTTTCTTTATTCTAAATGTCAATTTCAGGACTAGAAAAATTTATTTTGTCACTCATTAATGCGGACCAATTCTTATAATACATATCCTGGTGAAAAAATACAATTTCATAACCAATTCACCGGACGAAAATAAGAAAATTCAGTATTTTTCAAATTTATCTTTTTTTATAAATTAAAGTTGTTTTTTAGGCAATTAAGTTTATTAAAAAACATCCCATACCACGGAAAAAAAAGACAGAAATAAAATCTTCGAAACAACTAATTGTATCATTTTTGCTGAAAACAGGGGTACTTTTGCTTGACAGGATAAAAAAATCACCTAATTTTTTCAGAGATCATGGGCTGAATCTTAAGTTTTTCCGTAATTAATCTCTAATTAATTAATACAGATTGAAAGCATATTAAACGAAGAAGTTTTTATAAAAGAGGGATATCTGTTATATAATCAGACGATGCTAAAAAAAAATCCCGAATAATTTATGATTTTTTTTAAACAGAACTAAGCCTACTTTAGCCGCCTAAAAGGCTTCTTGACGGTGATATATTCTATTTTTTTTTTCAAAATAAATTTTAAATTGAACATTTTTTTAGTTATCGCTTTCTATTCAAGAAAAAACACGCCTTACTCAAAAAAACACAAAACTTGGATTTTTTTGCTGAAAATTGGACCATTGTTTATATGAACTTTTTTTTAAACCTTGGGGTCCGTTATCATTTCTATGAAAATTTTCCTCTACTTACGGGACACCCTGTTTATTTATTATTTATTTTTTTAAAACTTATTTATTGAAAATATTACAATCTGTCTCAAGGACATTTATAATAGTGTTAGACATTTAGAAAAATAATATATATATACAATAAATAAGAATAAAATTACCTAAAAATAAATAAATAAAAAGAACACATACGTACCTATATACAATATCCTGTATAATTATAAATAAAATTACTGTAATATTTAATTTAGTGAGGTACATTACATGTTAAGTAATTCATATACTGACCTAATTCATCCAGAGTAAACTGACAAGGGCTTGCACCATAAATGGATTACTCTACATTCGGAACACCATGTATAATAAGAATGCATATAATAATAGAACCAATTAAAATAAAAGTTGATTCATAAAACAGTCAAATGATTCTTCTTAAGGGCAGTGGTAAGAAGTAAGCTGACCATACGGCCGCTACTGAGATAACGAAGGTCTGTAAATCTGAAAATATCTTGACTGTAATATTTAGAAAATGATTACAGAGATTACTTAAAATGAACGAATTAATATTTAAATAATTCCCTGTTATTTCTCTAATAATAAAATGTTAAATTTCTGGTTTCCAAGTTTGGTTCTTTAACTATTATATTTTTCTTCCCTCTATGGTCCCACTTGTCTTGATCCTCTGATGAATCGTAAAAATAATAATATTACCTCTTCTGAAGAAGGTAGTATCCATGAAGCTATCCGATCTCCGACCACTCCTCCATGCCTTGGTTACATCGTGGAATATCGGTCGACGGAACCCTCCCGAAGTACCCTCCGTCTTTAACAGCTTCTTCAGAACGTCGCACGCTTCATCTAAAGCCTTCCTCTTACAACTCTTCACTGAGTCTTCCGAATCCTTCCCATCCGATTCTGGCAATGGGGGTTCCCCAGATGTTTCGTCTGGTTCGTCGAAGGGAAGACACATGTCTTCTACGTGCTCGGAACCCAGGTTGAATGAGCTTAAGACCGTGATCTATGAACCACTCACGTCGGAATCGAAGGTACTACTGACCCTCCCAGGTAGAGACTTGTCCCTCAGTCAAGTTCTTGAGGATTTTTTTTTAGAGAGTCTCATAGCTTCATGACTGAATATATTACAAGGCTTTCTAATGAACTGCATTACTGCATTATTTGTCTGCTCTAAGTATCGAAACTGAAATATTTACTAGATAGTAAACATCTTTTTTATTATACATAATAAAGTTCTAAAGGCTAAAGACCCGCAATATAAGTACAGAACTTCGAGATTAGAACTAATAGTTTATGTACTCTAATATTCCAGTAACGTATTGTAAGAGAGTATATATACATAAATACTCTCATAATATATTATCATATATACACATAAATACATAATCCAAAAGTAACGCCAATGAAAACACGCGGAGCTATTTAATTAATTATGAGATTGGACCACTCCTACACTGCAATTATTTATTATTACTCTTTTTCGTCGCGCACTAAATTTAATTCTCGTGGCCTAGTAACAATAAAATAGATGAAACTCATTGTTATTCAAATGGCCATTATGATAAATATTTATGAATTTTATGATTAATTTTCTTTGAAATTATTAATTTAAATAATTAAAACTAAAACTAAATGTTTTGCATCTATACACAGTACTGAGGGCATTGAGTGGAGAGAGGGGAGTGAGATAAAAAATGTGCATTCTTTCAGAGTGCAACAAATTTCAAAAGAAATTTTATTTTTCGTTCGTGTCAAAAACATTAATTTTAATGAACGAAAGTACAGTTAGTTAATGCCTTAAATTACTGTTCAAACTATATTTTTACACAATCATGTGTACAACTTAATGTACGTTCTATTTAAAACTAGTATATAACTGAAGATAATATCATTTATTTTTTTTGTTTTACGGTAAATCGCTGTATATATAATGTTTTAACTTGAGATTGCACAACAGAGATCCAACTAAAACCAGCTAATAAATACGTAGTTGATACATAAGAGAATGATCTGGTTATATATGTATTCTATAATATCCATATATCTAATAGGCTTTAGTTTAAATAATCACAATGTATATATTTGTGTTTGCCTATTATCATTTACATTTAAAAATAAACAAACCAATCACTCATTTATGCGGAGGGTTTGCTCTTACTCATTTCCATGATTTATTTTAATTAAATATTATAATTATCCGCCTATACTTATTATATATCATATATCATACCTTGTATTACGGAAGGGACAAAAAGTATAGTGGGTGTAAAAGACATAAATTATCTCATTTTTTAAGAAAAAAAAATATTTTTTAGGGTATTAATGTGATTTTAGTTGACTATTTACTTGATATTAATTAGGACATCATAAGTCATTCTACTCCAAAATCATGTAATACTGTCACAACCCAGCTAGACTCCCATTTTGTTTTGATTTTCCTTTTCTCTTTAAATACTTGAATTAATTTAAATTTGTCCAGTTTACCCCAAACATGGACGCTCCAGCCGTGCTCTCCTGAGTTGGGTTGTAGCTCCACAAGGGGTTCACTGGATTCTTCGTCTATGGCTGCTTCCGGCATCGTCCTCCACTTCTTCAAGAGATCTTTGGTACGGTCTTTTGTCTTATCGCAAGCCATCCTCCATGTTGTTAGGAACTTCCTCTGCTGTCTCGGAGAACCTTCGACTCCTTTAGGTTCCCTGAAACTAGAGGAATAACAAATGTAATTAATTAAACATGAATAAATTCATTTTTATGATATAAATAACGACACATATTAATGTTCAGATTACCAATCGATAATACTTATGTGCTCGATTTACCAAAAATAAAACACGCGTTCCATACTTGAAAAGTTCACTTATTTAAAAAAAAAAACCCATTTTTAAAATTTGATTATTAAATATGAGCACAAATAATATATTGACTGTGCAGCACAAATATGAGCTCTCATAGTATCAACGATCTGAACTGAATATATCGACTGACGGATAGTCGATCCGTAATGATAGAAAAATAGTCTCATTTTTTTTTTTTTGTTTTTGTGATAAAATTTACAACTGTAAACAAATACAACTAGTAAATATGCTCAAATTATAAATAATGACATGAACAGACTTGAAGAAATACTACCCAGTGGTTACACTCCCTAAATAATTCTAGGTAAGATCACGAGGCCATCTCCTTTTCAGATGCCTCGGAGGATTATCAGGAATCGAGGAAGAAGCAAGGGTGGAAACAAGGGGATTTGGATGGGACTGGAGTTTTTCATGAAAGGACAGATATCTGGCTCGGGCTAGATCAGCGACATATGGTACATTACGGTCTTTATGAATGGTTTGATTTGTGACAAAGTATGGAGCATTAAGGATTTGACGGAGGATTTTGGATTGTAAGGATTGGATACGATAGGAATTTGATGGTTTGGTGGAGCACCTCAACTCCATATGCCCATATAGGTCTTATTATAGTTATGTAGATAAATCTTTTGTAATTAATTGAAAGTTTAGAACGTTTGTCTAGTAAGTATTGGAGCAATCGTGTCTCACCATTTAAAATTTAATACAACAAACAAGAGCAAACATTAACTTTTCTTGGTGGTTTAATGCGTTTCGTGTTCACTCAGCATAACTTTCCCAAAGGCAATATTATAACTTTGTACCTGATTTCATGGGATTATCACCTGCAAACGAAACCTTATTTTAAGTATATATATATATTTACAAGCTAGAATAAATGTTCTTATATTCCTTTATCTTTTATTTGTGAAAACACTTTATAGGACTCAATTACTATTACGATTCACGCCACAGTAAAAAGTGAATGATAGTTGCATATACAATTTGATAACTCACCTGTCCTTCTTCACGAGCTCCTTCCCTGGAGGTGCCGGGGGAGGGGGCGGCTCCTCGGAGAGGTTGATCTTCCTCGAATCGTCTGACTTCCGCCTGGTGCTGTCGACCCGCTCCATGACGGGTCATCTAGTTCCAGTTAGGACCGAGCTTGTATAGAATACCAGGTCACCACTGCTATCATTATCACAATTTTGTACAAATCTTTCAGCTCCATGGTGCTATAGCATTGGTATTGGAAGCTGGAAAGGTTATGAGTGTGGTGGATTAAAGCGGTGATGCATGCCAACTTGTGCTATCCACAGAAACAAGAAATTTAGGCTAAATTGGATTCGTGAAGCCGAATTAAAATCCTAACCTTAATCGTCATACTTGACCGAATCCCATATGAGTTTTGAAACCTTACCATATCCCAAAAATACCAGATCTACTCAAGTAAGATATATTTTACCATCTAACATTATTGAAGTAATTTTATGTAAAAATCAAATATATCTCTAGTATAATAAAAATAAATACCATCCATAAATTCTGTTTTAAATTTATTTGTTTATACAGAAATGAAATTCATACACAGAAATTCGAGTTGAAACGTTGGCTTGAAATAAAATAGTTTTTTCACTATTGTAGTCTTTTTATGACCGCCACCCCAGATCATCTTCATCCTCAAAAATATACAAACGGTCAACCATCAAGTATTCAACAAATACCATTAACTGCATGCCTACAAAGTGGATCCTCATCAAGCAAGGCTTCAACTTATTAAATAGGTTTAAAATAATGGTTTTGAACGTAATGCAGAAAAAAATAATGCAGTGAAACCTTAAAATAAAGAAAGACTAAAGTAAACAATTAAAAATGTGTGGAATCACGAGATCAGAGATGAAATCATAAAACATTTGATTGAATTGATGCCAATCATAATCGTTTCAGGAAAAAAGGTACCACAAATTACTAAACAGAGATATTGTGTACAGAAGAAATGATATAATTAATTATTTTCACATAATATACGTATTTTATTTGGTTAAACATTAATTTCTTATTTAAATATATATATATATATATATATATATATACATATACATATTTGATTATATTCCACAGTTTTTGTGCGTTTTTTCTTTAGATTTTTTGCTTTTTCATAAATTATATTGTTTTTTGTTTACATAACGTGTTTTAATAATTTAGAAAAATAAAATTTTTACTGGGTGATGCAATTTCTATAACGAGAATTGTATTCCCTACGGACCTTTATGTGATTTTTACTAATGTAAATAAGATTTTTTCTGAGTTAAAAGACTTCTTCAATTGATTTAATAAAGCCAGAGCACCACGCTCATTGCCGTAATCAATTAAAAGGAAGTAACTTCTAGCCACCGAAATGGACTTCTGGTAAAGAGCGGTGGGAATATCAAGAATGGATAAACTGAGATATAGGACCATCAGAGAAAATATGGAGGCTAAAAGAACCATACTGGAAGAGATTGAAAGAAACCGCCTGGAGTGTTATGGAAATTTGAAAACAATGCCTGAAGGAAGACTACCCAAAGAAGTCCACTTATGGAAAACTAGGGAAAGAAGAAGACGAGGAAGATAGACGAGGAATCCATGATGGGTCATGGTCTACGGGAAGAACGGACCTTAGATAAGATATTATGGAAAGAGACCATCTAAGCACTTTAGGTTAAGGAAACCCACTATTAGTGAAAACTCCTAATAAAAAAATTAAAAGATTAATAAAGATTCAGTTTAGAATGAGCGGGTCTATCACAACCATAGTCCAATATTACAACCTAAACTCAGGCGTTGAGATATCTGTGCTTTAGAAGACTTTTTCTCATGAACAGCCATCATGTGTGAAGTTTTTTAAATCTGGTTAAGGAGAAAATATACAGTGTCCCCTAAGTAAAGGGAAGTATTTAAAGATATGACAGACCTCTAGAGCTACACAAAAGTTTATGTAAACAACGATCCGATTTTCCGTAGGAAGGTAGAGAATTCAAGTTTGGTGCAGGGGGCGGGGTGGCCGAATAGGCTAAAGCGTGTGTAACAGCACAGCTAGTTGCCTGGCAACCGGATAACAGAGATTTGAGATGATATAAAAGGTACGAGTTCGCTTCCCGGTGCCGGAGGGGATTTTAAATTCCCCGCTCTCACCCCCCGGCCCGGGAAAATCCCGTATAGCCTAAAAGGCGAGGTAGGGAAGAACAAAAACAAAACAAATTTAAGTTTGGTGTTATTTTAAGTAAGTCAAGTTTTTTGTTGAATAGAAAGCGGTAACTAAAAAAAATATTTAATTTAAGTAATTTATAATTGCTTATCAGTAAATTAGACAAAATTTACTTAAAATGAATATAGAGTTTGTCTTTGTTAAAATTATTTATAGAGGATTTTTTAGATGCTAAACTAAACAAGTTCTGTTTTTTATAAAGAAATGAGTTATTTGCGATTTATATTTAGTTTTCTCTATCTATACTATAGATATAGAAAAACTTCCTTGTTTAATTTAAGTCCATTTAAATTTAAGTCCATATCAAGTTAATATTTATTATGAAATATCATTATGTGATTTGATTACTTGTCACCTGTTAAGAATGAAAATAATCCGTGGTACTGACTACTTTTTATCAATTATTAACATCCGCCCGAAACTTTGTAAATAGCTTCATCTCATCGTAGCCTTCAAATATTGCATTTACGAAAATTCTCGGAATTGGTTTTCAATCTGGAGATCGCCAAACTTTGTCTACTTACTAAAAACAAGTAAATATCTTTATTTATCTTAAATAAATCAAATTATCTTACGATCTAAGTGAAAAGCAAATGGATATTTACGAGTTTTTAGTACCTAATTAAATGGAAAAGTTTGCCGATCTTGAAGATTGAAAACGCCCTAATTCCAATAGTTTTCGTAAATAAAATAGTTGTAGGTTACGATGAGATGAAATTATTGACGAAGTTTTAGGTATTCATAATTTAATAAAAGGGGATGTGTACCACGGACTAAACCTCTATTTGAAGTAAATTTTGTCTAGTTTACTGTTAAGCAATTGATAATTACTTAAATTAAATATTTTTACTTTCACTTACGTATATATGTAATATATAGTGAGGGTAAGTATTGCGATCGAGAAAATTTTTGAAACTGAGTTTTCAACGGAAATACACGTTTTGAGGTACCCTGAGTCGAAATGCCCAAGTCCCGAAAAATGGTCTGTGTGTTTGTATGTTAGCAGTCTAGCTCAAAAACGAAAAGTCCTACGAAACTGATATTACGTATTTAAGATAGGAATATACCTTAGATGTGACGGCAACTTTTTCCTTAAAATCGGCTAACCGGAATTGCCACTTCATATCAACGCTGAAACACATTTTCACAATTTTCTCAAAAACGGTTCTAACCATTTTGATTAAACTCTGTGTATCATTGTATAATCAAGTGGTCTTTAATATCAATTAGTTCTTATCAACATTTATGTCACTTTACAGGGCTTAAATGCCCAATGTTCATATACGTCTTCCTCTAAAGTACCTTTAATATGGTTTATTAAAAAAAGTTAATCATTTTACGTTATTCAAAGTTACGAAAAAATGCTAAATATAACTTTTGAAAGAATTTGATAAGTTAATAAAGGAGAAAAAAAATAAAAATGCAGAAAAACCTGCGTTGCTATAGACTGTAGCGATTTCAATGAAACTTCGCTAAAGTCATATTCTCGACACCCTTTAAATTTATCTATATAACATACTTCAACGAAAAGAAGCTGGAAAAAAAGTTACGAAGGATGGTAAAATTAAATTCCGAATAACTCAAAAAGTATATACTTCTTTGGGAATATTCTATATGGTTTTGTAAAAGTTTATGAAATTTCCTAAAAAAACAAAAAAAAAAAAAAATCGATAAGATCGGACAATTAGGAGGAGAGATATGGTCTCTAGTTTTTTCCCCTGAAGAGGCGAAAATTTGGATAAATTTAAAATATTCTTCTTTAATTGTTGAGACTAAAAAAAACTTTCTTCTACATATATTTAATAAAGTATCTTTCCTAAGAACATTTTTCATAAGGAATAAGTACCTAAATTTATACCTTTATTCTCAGTTCTATATTTCAACACTGCAATCACCACCTCCGGAATCAACTTAATCATTGTCTGCATAGATAATTTTTTCAACTAAAAATATCACTAAAATGACATCACTCAAAAATGTTGAAATTGGAGTTAGTCATTCTGTGGTTTATAAAAGCAAAGAAAGTTGTGTGACTTTCTCAGCAGATGGAGTGACTAGATTTTTATTTCCTACCTTCGATATATTAAATAGACATTTTGTAATTATAATGGTCTTAATGACTTGTTATCTGTAAGCTTTAAGCTTTAGCTCCGTTTAAAATGCACTTCAAAAATTTTTATAATAGCTCAGCATTGCCAGAAAATAATTTCTATTCATAGTAGATCGGTAAGTGAATGTTGTGTGTTGCGCGCACCAGATTTTTTTAGTTACCGCTCGATCTTTAACAAAAAACCTGATTTGTTTAAAATTAAATCAAACTTGAATTTTCCTCTTATCTGTGGAATATTGGATAATTGTTTTTATAAAATTTGTTTTTTAGGTCTTGGAGTTTGTTATCATCCCTTTAAATATTTCCCTTTACTTACATCTTAATATATCGTTTAAGCTAAAGTTCTGTAAGTATTCTTTAAATAGCTCAAAGCTTATATTATTACAAAACCATCAAACTGAAGACGTTTTCTGTCAAATCATATTTTTTATTTAAGTGATTGTCCCTTTTGTTTTTTTTACATAATTTTTGGATGTTATTCAGATAATAATATGCACATGATCATGCACTCCATCATAGGTGTGAGACAGACACGTGTAATCCAAATTTACCGCGAGTAAAACCGCCGGGCACAGTTATTTTTAAATGTAGAAACGTAGAAGGTGTATACATGAATGGTTTCCCAATTATTACAAACAGCTTGAAGGAAATTGTGGTCAAGATTTGCTTCCTCTGAGTGGAAGAGTGGTCGATGGTCTGTAATTATTAATGCAAGAGGTTGCCATGGTGACGTGGCTTATTGTTGTCTAAATTGCCTGCTCAAGCAGTCCGGTGTCACGCGATCACGCAAAGGAAGGCTCTATGGGATGTATAATAACATTTTGATATTATATTAAATACCAACACCTTTAGATATTTTGAAATTTAAGATATGGGTATTTATCGTTTTTATCAATAGACATTTTGTCAATAGACATAACTTATAAAAGAAATGAGAATAAAATGTATGTTATCTGCTAATAAATAAACACCTTTCTATACATCACACACTTTCATTTATCAACTAATGAGTTTGAATTTTGGTTTTTTGAAGTGAAAACTAGATTGACCCGTCAGATTTCCGATAAGTAACGCTCGGGTAAAGTCGAAATGCTTTT